GGGAGGGAGGGAGGGAGGGAGTAGAGAAGGAGGGAAGGAGAGAAAGAGAGGGAAAGAGAGAAAGAAAGCAAAAACAAACTCTTCCCTCAAGAGTAATTAAGGCACGGTTTCATACATAGCCACACAATTGAAATGACAGTTTGTAATAAGATTTAAAACTCACCATCTGTCCTCTCATTCTGCCTCTGATCAGTAAGGCCGCTTTAGTTTTCTACAACTGGGACATTTTTCAAGCTCTGATAACAATTTCAAGAACAAACCAAAACTGCCTATGTACATCAGCATGCTTTTATTTAGATATTTGTCTACACAATCTAAAAGACACATGAGCACAAGAATAGTATCTAGCTTAAAAGACAAAACACCACAACATAGTTATCAAGCTCTTTTTCTTCCTGCAGATTTATTTTATCCCAAGAGCAGTTTTATTTTATATTGTCATTCCTATAACCTATCTATCTTTCACAGGCCTAGGGAAATAAAGATGAAATTACAGATGTATATTCCTCACCACAAAAAAAAAAAAAATAAAAAATTTTTAGCCTCCAAATGCCAAGGTTTGTTTTTTAAACAAATTTTTAGAGTACTTTATCATCTTGTATTTAAAATTTAGTTGTTGCATTTTTTAAATAGATGTATGTTCTGAAAGCTGTGCTAGAATTGCCAGGCTCTGGTTAAATATAAAAAATTTCTTCATCCTGAAACCTTTTCAGCAACAATCAAAAAGAGATGAAGAAAATCCATCTGAGATAGAAAATGTGCATCAGTTTTTATTGAAGGTAAGAAAGGGAGATAAAAACTACCAAATTCTGAAATGCAGTCTTACCTGGGTCCAATATTCAGGCACTCAAAACTTTGGCCATGCTTCAGAGTACAGGAAAAATAAAGTAATTTTACTGAGAAATCTGAGTGCTGGGCTTTAAAGTTTATGTAGCCAAACAGATATTCACTGAGGAAAACTTCCTCACATTAACACATGCTTATAGGTTTTACAGCTAAAACTTTCACTGCAAGCAAACAACAATTAATTTAAAGGCACTCTTACAGATTTCATTTTTTTTGTTTTTTAAGCCGTTTTCTTGCAAGCAGTGTATAGCAGAAAAACTCTGGCATGTACACACAGAATAGCTTTGTAAAAGCATCAAGGACACTTTCTGGCTTCTTGCTGAGACACAATAGCCTACATTTACTACAAAATGGCACCCTCATCTCTGCTTGTTGCTTTGGCCACAGCATAGGTCAGGCTTGCACTTTTTCCCCTGGACCTGTTTGTTTAGGAAAGGCCCAGGCGCTTCCTATCATGGTGCCTGGATCAGCAGGGCGAGCATTCACAGCAGCAGCAGTAGCAGGAGCCGGCACCCTCTGCCGAGGAGATCAGCAAGCAGCAGAGGGCAGAAATGCAGAGGAATCCGAGCACTCTCCCTGCAACACCAAACACAAGGTCTGCTTCGACACATGTTGCATCTCATGCAAGAAATGCATCTGGATTAGGCTGCAGAAGTAGTTTTAAGTTCCAGTTCTATGTGGCAGCAGAAGCTGAACAGGGGTGAGTTAAGGGTAAGAAGGAACAATCCCAGATAACTACAGGTTTAGAAAGCAAAATAAACACTGTGTTTTGCAAGGTCTCTAGTACCTGTGTGTCCCCCTGGTTCTGAGATGTTGGTATTGGACCTCAAAGAAGTGAGCAGTTTAATTCAAATAACAAGAGTAAAGAAACATCCTTACAAACATGCTCATAATTAACCTTCAAATGCAATTATTTTATGTCATGTTTCATTCACCCCAGCTACCAAACTGAAAACATTGTTTCATGTGTACTTTTACAGGAGGTCCCTTTGTGCATGGGGAAAGCACAGCCAAAATCGAAGTGTTGGAGACACTCATGCTACCCATCTTTTTTAAGGTATCGGGATGTCCCCACTGTATAGGAGGTAACAAAGTCACCTCTGCCACTCTTGTGGCCATAAAGCTTACCAGCAACAGCCAAGCATCACACTACTGCTGACATACTCAACACCACCAACCACCTGTAAAGCCAGCAGCAGGACATTTCCATAATCATTTGCAGAACCACAAAGCAACTTTAACTTTTTTTTTTAAATTTATCAAATCTTTAAAAATACAAATTCAAATGTTCCTTGTATTTGTCATTACTTATCATGGTGACAATAAAGTTTGGCAAACACATCAACTACTCAAAACATTATTACGTGTGCAAAAACAGTCAGTTTTCTAGTCTGTCTTGGAAATTTTTCATTAAAACATACTCAAAGATGCTCAGGTTCACAACGTCTACCCAGCAGCCTGCTTTTTATTTGTCTCTCTTCCATAGACCCTTTTTTACTCTATTAGTGAAAGAGCACTGTCCTGCTATTTCTTTTTTTCTTACACTAAGCTCTACTGTGCCTTCCACTCGTTGGAGTTGCAGTACTTTTTCCATATCCCAGGGGTGAAGTTTTTAGAAATGCTGCTGAAGAGTATAAACTAAATGAAACCTATGATGTTTATCCTTCCTTTTTTCTGACCAGCTTTGAAAAAAATCAGCTGTTTCCTTGTGCCAGCAAGTACACATGAATCACATCCTCACTTTCTAAAAATTGCTCTTCATTTCGATGATCCTCTGAAGCACCAAAGGGGGCAGGGGGCAATATATAATGAAAAGTCATTGTTCCTACATAAAATAACCCTTCCGTTTATATTTTACAATGCTCAGTATAAACCACTACATTGGGAAAGAGTAGGAAAAAATATCTGACGCCTTCATATCTAGTCCCTGTAACTGAAATAACTTTTTAAGTACCAACTGGTGTAGGGGTTCTGAATCTATTCATGTACAGAAAAAGAGAACCATATTTTATTATAAAATATTTTATTATAAAATTCTAACTACCCAGTTTGAAGTCCTCTTCTTAAAATTTATTTATGGTAAGTAAATCATCATTATTGCTACTCATTTTACTCTTGGTCATTAGGAAAAGACACCTCTGCTATAACTGCTAATTCTGATCACAAAAATCATGTTCATGAAAATATTGGTATGTCAGATGGCAGCGTGAAGTTGTCTGTAACCCTGGGTAAAACAACTGCTTTAAGGCTCTACAGTCAACCTTGAACACAAATCAGATAACCTGGTTTAAATACCTTAGTGCTTGCTTTTACAGGTCCTCTAAATCATGTGAACAAATTCAATTAAAAGCCACACATCTTTACATGGATCAAAAAATACTCCTGGACATACATATCTGAGGAATGTGACTGATGTAGTGAGATGGTTAGGACATTTCAGTTAACCATATGTATTTCCTGTAAGGCTTGGCTGTTTATTCCAGAACAAAATTAACATTGACTTCATTTTGCATAAGCCAGCAGGCTTACTGGAGTTCTGAGTGGAAGGTTTAGTTGATGGTATTGTCTTGCTGTGGGATCTTATACAAGTATTCAATCAGCTCATTTTCATCAGCGGGCCATATATTAATGGACTACAACTTAATAAAAGCAGCAGGCTGTTTAAATTTTCTTTCTAGAGAATCAGAAACAAAATTAGCTTGGTTCAGTGTTGCTCCACTGCTGGTGATTGGAGATGGTACTATAGTCTGTGCAGCTCCTTTCCAACACCTGGAGCAGGCAAACAGAGAGAACAACAGGCAGAACCTGGACTTGCCCTAGCACAGCAGTGTCCCCCTGGCCTGAAGACCCAGATGAAGTGGTGGTCCCTTGTCGCAGCACATCATGCCCACCAGGCACAGAACAGGGCAGTCACAGGGCAGGTTCACCTCTGACCTGCTCACTTTCCATCATGCCTTAGCTTGCCTAGATTCATCTTTGAAACTCACATAGGGACCAGCTGTGAGTTAACCAGAACAAATTTCTACTGAGATAAGCTTTATTAAAAAACTGGGTTTTTTACCAAAAAAG